TATATATAACAAAATAATCATAAACGGAAGTGTATTTAGTCATGACACTTATATACTTAAAATGTATTCCTCTTGCCTTTATATAGATTTATTTTTTCTCGTTATATGAGTTAGGTAAGAAATTGATTGATAGGGCCACCGGCAGTGCTTAAAAAAAATTGTCCCTTGTACTAAATTCTTCTGCCATTGAAGAATTTGTTAGGTAATGACGATTTCTGCATGTATTTGTTCATTGTTGACGAGCCTGCAAGCTCCTAATCGTTGCTAATTTATAGCTAACGTCTCCAGTTGTACTTAATCAGACAATCTATAGACATTTACGTGTACACCTATCTACATTTAGGTTTTATTTGCAGGAGGAACCCGGCCTATACATATAAAGATGATAGGAAAGGATAATTTCCTTCAGCTGTCCACTTGTGTCGGTAGATTCTAGCCATCTGATAGATTCGGAACACGCTTTTCGGGGCTTTTTAGAGGCTGTGCTTCCCTGTTATAATCTGTTCGGATTAGATGTATACCATTTAAACAAAGTAACGATATCAACAAAGCTAGAGAAATTATAGTAGTTGCAAGTTACTTCATGATGTCTTTCTTCATTTATATAGCTTTTCCGTGCTTGATTTGCGATGAACTTTTTAATAGCTTTTAAAAACAATCACTTTATTTCCTACCTCGCATCCGGACAGACTTACCTAGATACTCAAACATTTCAATTTCATTTATCTTTTTTCAGTCTTCCTTTTACAAACGAACCAAAGCCAAACAAGCAATTTTCCGCGTCTCGGTGACGACAACAACTCCACGGCTATGCTGGTGATAAAGTGGAAACGAAATGGGAATAAAATTACTACCTAAACTGTGCCTAAGCTACTGGACAAGCGTAACCACTGCCGCCATCCCCATGTACGTTCATGTTCTTACCACTCGTTAGTAGCTGACTGAACGTGCCGAACAAACAATTCATTTTGCGTTTTCGGCAGTCACTGATTTAAATAATCTTAGTGGCGCTGTTTCTCATAGACTCTATCGATGTATACCGACCCCGAATCAGAACAAAGGTCTCGTACTTTCATCATCCCGTCGCAGAATGTCCACATAGGAACGATTTTTGGGTCGTTACGACAATCGTTGAGATGTGCCGTCAACCCGTGCCTCATTTTTGACTCGTCAACCACGATAGTTCCTTTAATTTACTCTACCCTTTAATTTACAGTTAATTTACTCTAGGAAATAAAGCGACATTTAAAATATCCGAACTGTTATAGTTTTTCTGTCTTTACTAGGCCAGCTGGCCGACTGAAGCTTTTTGTTCTTATTGTAATTTATGGATTACACGATACCATCAAGGTCGACACATTGTTCAATTAGAAACTAACGCCTACTATGCCTATGCATTAACTTCGACGGTGAAGGGCGTATTCATATACATATGTATAATGATGGACCAGCGAAAGGTGGCGTTCTCCTGGGACGTAGCCGCCGTACAGCCCGAGCTCCTGTAGCCAGATTTCGAGATTCGAAAACTGACCTCAGTCAAGTACAACAGAGGAAGACTGAGCAGCGCTCGTGCGAATACCTGACGTATTTGTTCTTAAATACATTTTGTGAAGAGTCTTCAATTAACGTTCCCTGCTTCTTGCCACTAGATATGGAACATGGAACATTCATTTATCCGGACGAATATCAAGAAGTAGAAGTATACTACGAAACGAGATATTTCATTTACCCTATCCTCGCTTCTTTCATTTTGGATATTTATCGAACAAAATAAAACTAAAAGTTCTTTAAAACTCCTTAATAGAGAGGAATATGTATAACCAGAAAAGTCTTCATGTGGGTATGCCTATCACATTGATGGATCATTATGCGTGTGCGTTGTGTTCAAAGAAAAACAGTTGAAGGCTGCGCATTTGACGAAAACGACATGTTTATATTTGGAAAAACACATCAATAATTTTACCACTACTACCGCCACTATTACTGATTCTATGTTGTTTTTTTGCAGTACTATGTTTTGCTATCATCTTTCTTCGGCTTTTTGGGTATTGACATCGCACCAAAAGAACAACCCGGAACGGGAACTTTTTATAATGCAGTCCACTTATATACGATTTCGCATATTAGCAGCGTTTCTCTTGTATTTTAAAAATAGTCACCTGAAAACACAAACAGAACTCCAGAATACTCAGAATTCGGGTCAGCCAAAACGAATGCCCATCGTGGGGCGACAATCAATCAGGGATTATGAGTATGCTAGCGGTAGATGGTCCACTAACGAAACGTCCTCTACATGTAACTCTGCACTGAATACGATGTTCCGAAAAGCGCAGTGACAGAAAGTATAAAAAGTGCAGTCTTCAATTACTGAACCCAACGAATCACCCGATTACCGACGGTGACCTATTCTAGAGCCAGGCTGTATATCAAGCAAAATTGCAGTTTATGAAGAGTTAATTAAACTTTTTGCACCGTGCCTAGATACACAGATCGCAATGTTTCTCTTTATGTAGTGCTCGTAGATCGTATGGAGCTGGTAGTCGCTCTGGAATATATTTGTATCTTTAAGAGGATGCATAGATGAGGTAGCATAATTAACGCTGTGGAAGATAGCAGCTTTGATATCTAGAGGGAATATTTAGGATATATTATGTTTAAACCACGTATGGTTTAGGCTTTCCTTACAGACTTTTGAAAAAGGGGAAAAATCTTTCAAAAGTCGTCTAATATCCGAACAGAAAACAAACACCCTGTGCTGTTCTTAATTAATTACTAGTTAATTAGCTGTGAAAGATCCATCATCTATTCCAGTCGATTTGCTTGCTCACAGCACCCCAACAACCCTCAGTCGCAAATTTTAGAACGTACAATCGGCGCTTGCGTATGTGTGTCGTGCGTCAAAAGCTCACAATGACGTCTCGCAAAAGAACTCTGAGCGAATTTTCGTGCCCAATCATCAATTTGACACGGTTGGATGTTTTTGATATTCAGTGACGCCCGGGGTCAAGCATTCGTCTAAACAGTGTTTTCTGCTGAGATATCAGCTAAACTGTCAGGGTTAAGGTGTTCAGAATTCGAAGCTTCCACCGTTGACGTTGGAAGCCGAACGTGTCAGCCTGAAATAAGCATCCCATGATACTACATCTTGTACTAAGTGCTGAGTGATGCAATCAAAGTTTCCCGCTGTTATTAGTGTGTACGGGCAGAATCTGTTGTTCCTGTTTCTATTGGACGATGAAGATGCTGCTAGGCTTAGTTGTTTATATACGATGATAATGGTTCTCAATAGCCCAAACGGATCCAGTGCATTATTGTATTGGTAATTAACGTAGCGTGTAAGTATCTAGCTAAGTTTTCATCAGGCAATTGATTATTTTACATCGATTGGCTAAGTTCTGCTGTTTTTTGGTTACTGCGACCGTCCCCACGACGTCGGTGTGCTAGGCCTGTCGACTAGCGACGACCTCGCTAAACACAGAACACAATAGAATGTGTAGCGGACCGAATATTGTCAAAACAGCTGCCATTGCAACGAAGTAATTACTTGTTATGTTAGGGCTGCCGCCACGTAATTTTGTCCTTAAAGAACGGTTAGCTTCTATTAATCTGTGTACTGAACTCTGCTAACAGTGGAACAACTACCCGCTCATGCCTGCAAGTACGCGAATGCTGATAGCACCAATGTTAAATTGAATTTAGTTCAAATTTTAACATTTGATCAGAGTAATATGTACGGTATAGTAGTTCATGAGCTCGAATCGAGTGACACGGTGGAATTGAGCCGCTACTACCAGCTGAGTATCTATGTGGGCAGGATCAATGACTATCGTTTCGGCTATAATTCAGATGCACAGTGCAAGATCGATGACTACTTCAACAAAATGAACATGTTGGCCATGTTATAACTAACTATACGGTGTTCGTAGAGAAACATCGCACGCTTGCGATGGCCTGCAAACAATGGCTGAAACGCATATAATACGAGCTGCTTTAGAACGCGAACTCGCGACAGTGAGTAAACGATCAGCAACAACGGGACCACCGGAAGACCAGGCTATTCATTTGCTATACGTCAACGACATATATATAAAAACACGTCATTGCTTACATCTTACCTTGTCTTTGCCACATAATAGTCTCTAGAACAGCTTAGTACAGCTAATCAATTAAGTAGTTAGTAACTTAAATCATCGTGCTGACATTAGGGCGATCGTTTCTGCATTGTTACTTATAAGCTTAACATAAGACACAACACGGCCTAGGCCTTCTATACGAAGCAAGTCTAGGCCTAAATAGTGCACTCGTACTGATGTTAAGATTAAGCAAGCTAAGGCAACATCTGGAAAACGACTTCTCGCCCAGCAATTCTCTATATTAAATACATTCTGTCTCACCGTTGACCTTTCAGGCATTAACAGTAGTGATTTAAGGATCAAAAAATAAGTGAAGCGCCTAATAAAAAATTGGTATCTTAATAATAAAATAAAATAGTGGTAACAGATTCCGTACGAGCCGTAACGTAACAGTTATTTTAGCAGCCTTTTCTTAATTTCGCTCATTTTTGACTAGCTATAATACGATTTTTGGTTTCAATCAGTCTATAAGTAAGTACGATAAAACGGTTACCCAACTTGGTGTCGAAGAGGACACGATTGCTTATGTCCCTTGTATCGAAAGCCTAATTGTGATTTAAGGACGATCCTCTAGTTCACATATATCTCAAAGGCGCTCGAGTCGGAGATTATACTATGAAGAGCTTCTGGACTTGTTCGTTCTTTAGAGTTCGTTTTCGCAAGTGCCATCCAGTGAACAGGAAGTATTACAGCAATAAAAAAAAGTAACACAGATAATACCTTCAAAACTACTTTTCTCATTGGCAGTACTATAAGAATTGCTGCAATCAGACTTCGAGCGCTTCTCGTATCTAATTGAAATCACCGATACTTTGCATGGTCCGAATCTCAATTTGAAGTATAAAAATACGTCCTATTCATTAAGGATTGCGTTTAGTTAGTTTCGTAGCAGCACAGAAACGAACGTTCAGCCGTATGGTTAATCTGTACTATCTATTGATGTCCACTTAATGAGAGTTATAGTGCTGGACATTAGGCTAAAGATGATGGCAAAATACACAACCTATGATATTGGTTTGATGTGGTCACGTATTGACTTTTGAAGTAGTGGCGATACGCCAATACAGTGAGTTTAAAGCCAAATAGAGATGGCGTCTTCTTGGCTAACGTACATTATTAGATTCTAGTTAGATAGAAGAAAAAAGACAAAGAACGCCTTGGGCTAAACACTACGGTAAAAAAAATCTTGATGGCTCATCATCAGCAGCAGCAAACGTCAGTCGTCTGTGTGCTCTGACTATACAAACTGTCAATAGCTTTCAACAAAAGCGTTAAATGATCGTTTGTAGCGAAGCGTTTGCCGTTTGCTGGCAATATTCACACGTCGTATGCTAAATGTTCCCAGACTAAACAAAACGAAAAAGATTTTGAGAGATGTATTTTTTTTTTTTTTTTTTTATCATAAATACGTAAGAAAATGTTGTGATATTGCGCTATACATGACAGAGTTCGGATGTACACCATAATTTCTCTAGTTTATTGTTCTGCTCTACCGAGTTATTACTTGAATTAGTGAGATCCGTTTAGGTCAGGCGTCGTGGTGGACCCTACTGGCCCGCGCCTGATAAGATGATGTAGATTAACTGACGTTGCGTAAGTAGCTGTGCGAATTGTGGTATCTGTGGTACTGCCCCATACTAGATCTGCTTCAGACGAGCCCCTAAGCAGTATGCAATGGTAGAATGGAACGATTTTGGTTACATAATTAATTGACCACAAGCATGTCGCATGGTGTCATGCTGACACCTTAATGGTGTCACCACTGTTCTCCTTTCGATCCTCATCTTCCTTCATGAGCAGAATAGACAGAAAATGCTGTCTGCCGGTGCCGAGAGGGGAAACTTGAGCTCGTTGGGTCGTCAACAGAAAGGAGGCCTCAAATGCCAAACGCTGGCGTGCGTGGGAACACCAACGGTGCTGATGTAGACAAACGAGCCTTGCCGGGGTCGTGTACCGAATTCGAAATGAGATTTTGCTTTTTCTTAATGCCTATCTCGATGTAAACGAGACAAACGCGCCGCTCGACGAAGACGA